CTCCATGGTCGATAATGTCAATGGCCTCCTTCCCTTTTGCATTAGGTCCCTCACGAACCCTACTACCTCCTTCACCATCAACCGGCGGCGCAATAGGATTAGGGTTAGGGTTAGGGTTAACCGAACCCCCCATGTTGTGTTGGCCCGCCACCATTTGTTTGATCATCTCTTGTAACCCTAACATTTGAGTCTTCAACTCCTCTACTCCATCAAGCTTTTCATCAACGGAAGCAAATTTCTCCTTAAGGGCGGTGAACTCCACTTCCCACTCTCCAACTTTCTCTTCAATAGATTCAATCCTTCGTGTACCCATCCCTTCCTTGTGGATCTAGCGCTCTGATACCACTTTGATGGATCTTGAGTTGTAATTTTCGGATTCCAAGCAAAACAGCCCAAAAACAATGGGAAAATGCGAAATTTCTTGGATGAAAACACTCACAAACACTTCATTTACTCAAATATCAAAAGACTTACAAGTTTCCACGGATACAATGCTCCCAATTCGAGAAGGGAAGCTTTCTCCCAAGCCCTAGAGAAGAAGAAACCTAAAACAGCCACAAAAACAAGATCCTCCAAAAAGCCCCCCTAACACACTTTTAACTCTCACATAAAACCCCTCCAAATCCCCTCAATACCCCTAGGGCAAACAACTCATGCCACCTTTTCAATTTGGTGAGCCCAAGGGGCCCACCCCTTTACTCCCCCCCCTTGGTTTGTCCGCCCAGGCAGGCGGGTTCTCCGCCTGCAGTAAATGAGTACCGGCCCCACAGGGGCCGGTGGGGCTATGGACCGAGCAGGTCCATCAGTATGCTTAGGTGTCCTTGATTTCAGTAGTTATGTTTTTTTGCTCAAAGAATAGGACATTTAACATTTCTTCGTGGATAAAGCAATAAAAGAGGAGGAAGGACTGCATCAAAACTAAGAAAATTACCATGCTTTCACAAAAGGGCAAAGTTTATAGATTTATTTACAATTTTACATTAATCATTTAATAGTTATTAATTTTTTATATATAAACATTCCTTGCGACTGAAGATAAATTAGAAAAGAATCACATTTTAAAGCAAAAAATTACTTACCGGACTTTGCGAGAAAGCTGATAGAACCCTGTGCTAGCCATTCCAATATTTACACAAAAAAGGTTCAAGTTCCTCTGCAAGCCAAAGGTTAAGCAAGAGAAACTCTAATGAATGCTGGACTAAAATTGCAGAACAGAGCTTTCTTCAAGTAAAAATCATCAAGCAGTAAAAACTGCTGCTGTTAAGTTCAAATCTTTTTTGAGTTTTACACTCAAAGAAAACATTTTGCCATTAACTTTAACAACTCAACTATAAAGTACAAGGTTGAAGTATAGCCATTATATTAATAAAATTTGAAAAAAAAAATCACGATTAACATAAGCAAGAGAAAACTTCTAATATTGGACGCTATTAATCAATCAATAAAACAAAGGAACAATGTATGTTGAACAGATTACAACTTGCAAGGCTGTTACAAACTAAAGTTTATTAGTAATGGCAATTGGAAAGACTTACAGGTGTAATCACCAGGCTGTAGCGTGACCAGATGATTCCAGTGCAAGCAACAACTTCAAAAAAGTTGAACAAAGAAGCATCAGACCATATACTCACATGTAAATGGATTCAGATATGGAGATATATATAATCATATACCCATTTGATGAGGATACGATATCATCTCAGGTGGCTTAGAGAAGTCTGCAACGTTAGCAATGCTGATAACCCATTTAAAAGTTGGAGCCCAAAAATGAACTGCAGATATGAGGATGTTAATGATGGTAAAACAGGGCGTAATCTGTAAAAGAATTACATAAAATGTATGCAAAATGACAGAAGTCGTCGTATAACTTACTTTTGATTGATACCCAATACAGAAACAAGGAGTAACAGTTAATAGGATGATCACGGAAATTTAGATTAGTTTACATCTTTTTTCATTTTTTTAATGTCTCCATCATGTTCGAGGATTTGTTAGTCATTAAGTGTTTAACCTATTGCCATAGATATATAGAGGTGCCATTAGGTTGCATTGCATGAACAATGATGAATATTTTGATGAAATGAAGCACTGACACATGCAAACTCCTCTCCCTTCATTTCCAGCTCATGCTCATCTCCTCTCCCCCTGCCACTTCTAAGCTCTGCTCTCCCCTCACTCTCTTCTCCATCCTTGTCTCCTTATCTCTACCTTAACTTTTTTATTATCAACCTCTTGTTTCTTATGATTTGGTAAGTTTCCTTCCACTAGCTTGGAACTACTTGCATTGTGAGAGGATGAATTTGGCTACTTGGAAGGAAGTTTGCACTCAAATCCCTCTCAAATTGGTACCAAGAACATCAGTTTTCTATGCGTTAATGCAAATTTTGTATTGAGACAGTGAGTCTGGTAGGTGAGATACCTCATGGAGATTGATCAAAGAGATGAAAAATATACCATGCAAAAGAAATGTTTTTGCTAAAAAAAGTATATTTTTATAGTTCTCCTACATGGAGAAGTGTGCTTCACTCTTAATGTTAGAAAAGAAATTAAAAAAACTTTACATGAGGCAAGGAATCAATCAGCAAGACAACGGAATACTTGGCCTTGCTCCCCATACTTTACAGCCCTAGATTCGGTGAGACCTTGTTCTTATATCTAGGAGGGCTATCCGGCTATTAAGGCAGAACTATGAATTTTATGGTTAATTTGTGGTAAAATTATAAAGAATGGGGATAATATTAGAGAGATAATGAGAGTAACATGATGAAAATAACGCCTAAAATAGAGATAAAACTTTGTTAATAATGCAAACCCAAAGAGTTGGGATGTTAAGATCAGATAAATTACTAGTTTTAGGACCAGCTGGATGGTTCCATAGCGCTTGAAACTTCGCTGCTGCCATTACAAAAAATCCTTTTTAGCTTCTATCTACTTACCACCCTCCCTACCTTTCTCTCAGCAGGAAAATCTCACTCTGTAGACAAACAAAATCAGTTTAAACATCAATAATGCAAGCATATAGCAAAGGAATTCCAATCAGAACCATTCTATAATGATAAATCAATCCATCAGTATCTAGGGTTTGCGTTTTAACTTTAAATTTTGAAAGGAAAAACAAAAGCTTGAAATCTTAAAAAAAAATTGAATTGAAAACAAAATCTACGTAGAATCTTTCGAATAACAGATTGGCTAACTAACCCAAAGTAGAGTGAGAGATAGGAGTGAGGGAATGGTCACCTCTAAGCTCCCGTCCTGAAGCTTTCCGCCGGCGATTCTTCCGTTGACCAAACTCGTTAAGACAGGGCCGGGAAAGCAAAATGGCGCGTTTATGATCAAGTTGGATTACGAGGAGAGAGAGAGAGAAAGATGAGTTAAAAAATTATTAAATTAGCTGATATTTATACTTCATCATATATGCAACTTTTTAATTTTTTATTGATTATTGAATTTATTTTGTGATAATAAATTATCAATTAAATTAATGTTTTATTTTTTAAATAAAACTTCTTATTTTAAAATTTATTTTCATAAAAAATAAAGAAAATTTTAAAATCTTTAAATATGTTTTAAAATGAGTGCAATACATGAGTAATAAATATTACATTTATTTTAAAAAATAGATCAAAATATTGCAAAATTCATCCTCATCTCATTTTAATTGAATATCTTGATATAAAAATTTTCCAACAAAAATTTAATTAGAATATTGTTTTGTATATATATAATATTGTTTTGTATATATATATATATATATATAAACAAGCATCAAGAAAGCTATCCGAAATAATTTAAAATTTTTATACTAAAAATTTGCTTTAAGAAGCAGTAAAAAAGTTATTCCAAATAATGTCTAATTCTATGTACAAAGAGTTTGTATTTTCAACATTTTCTTAAAAAAACAAAAAAAAAAATTGCGTAATCCTTCAATAGCATAAAAATCATAAAAAAATGGGCATCCTTTAAGAGTAAAATCAATGACACTATATGGTGATAACTATCAAAATTACTAAGAAAAATAATTATATTTTAAAAAAATAACAAATTAATTAAAAAAATTATATATATATTATATTTATATATATATCTGTTACCATAATCCCGAATCTCCAAGCATTGTAAACCCCGACTTGACCGTTAAATACTTTTTAAATGTCCGTTGTCCACATTCGCGCCAAAACTCCAAACAGAGCCACAAAATAAAAAAAATCCCAACCGGTACTCAATCATTCCTCCTCCCCACCTCTGTCCCTTTCCATGGCTACTCGCACTCTCACCTCCTCCATTCATTTCCCTCTAACCCCATCCAAACTTCTATGGCCCATTTCCCTTCAGCTGCTTAACCTCCCCTCCTTTATCCCTCCCGCCATGGCTCCATCCCTTCATCCTTCTCCTCCCATGGCCGACGTCGAAAATAGCAAGCTCCTCCAGGAGCTCGACGCCCTGAGCCAGACTCTCTACCAAGCCCACACAGCCCGCCGAACGGCATCTCTCGCCCTTCCCCGCACCACCAATGCTATCCCCCACTCCGACCATTCCCAAACCACCAGTAACTCTTCCTATGACCCCCGCACTCGCACCCGCCGCTTATCCATGTCTCCCTTTCGCTCTCGCCCGCAACCCGAATCTATGTCTTTGGATCCACCACCCTCCGCCTTCTTTGACACCCCGAGCAACACAAATAAGAAGGGGATTTGGAGTTGGAAACCACTTCGAGCTATTTCGCACATCGGAAAGCAACGCCTCTCCATCCTCTTCTCCATCGAAGTCGTGACAATCCAATCCCTCCCTGCCTCGATGAACGGTATCCGCCTAGCCGTTAGCGTCCGGAAGAAGGAGTCAAAGGAAGGGGCTGTTAAGACCATGCCAGCTAGAGTCTTGCAAGGCGCCGCCGATTTCGAAGAAACTCTCTTCATCAAAAGCCATGTTTATTGCAACGGTGGAGGAAGCTCGGGGAAGCCGCTCAGGTTTGAGCCCCGTGTTTTTGTCATATCCCCTATTGCAATTGATGCTCCTGAGCTCGATTTCGGCCGGAGCTCGGTTGATCTGAGCTTGCTGGTGAAAGAGTCCATGGAGAGGAGCATTGAGGGGTCTAGAATTAGGCAATGGGACACAGTTTTCAAGCTCTCTGGTAAGGCCAAAGGAGGAGAATTGGTAATCAAGTTGGGGTTTCAGATCATGGAGGATGGGGGAGTAGGAATTTATAGCCAGGCATCTGAGGTTCCAACCGGATTGGGCTCCAAAGGGTCGGGTGACTCATCTTCAACCTTCGCTCGACGGCATTCGAAGTCGTCATTTAGTATCTCGAGCCCGAGGGCGATGCGACCAGCACCGCTGCCTTCCAAGGATGGAAATTCAGCTCCAGAATTCACAGGGATTGAAGAATTCAGCTTGGATGAAGACCCTTCACCAAAATTTCAGCCTGAGCCAGAGGCCAAGACTGAAGATCTTGATCTCCCTGACTTTGATGTTATTGATAAGGGAGTTGAGGTCGGTTTTGGAGGGGAAGAAGAGGTCGAGGTGGCATCAGATCAGGCCTCGGCCTCGAGCGAGGTTGTGAAGGAAGTAGTGCACGACAATGCACACTCACTCAGATTGACAGAGCTCGACTCGATCGCAAACCAAATCAAAGCTCTTGAATCCATGATGATCAATGAAGGTGGCGAAGAGCCACAGCCAGGAGAAGCTCAGGAGCTTGATGCTGAGGAAGAGACGGCAACAAGGGAGTTTCTTCAGATGCTGGAGCTTGAAGGTGATAAAGAAATAGCTAACTACTCATTGAAGACTGAAGCGAAAGAAGGCCCTGAAGAAGAAAAAAGCTATCTTTCTGATCTAGGGAGGGGTCTAGGCTCAGTTGTTCACACAAGAGATGGAGGCTATTTAACCTCCTTGAATCCATTTGATATCGAAATTTTGAAAAGGGAAACGCCAAAACTTGCAATGCAGGTCTCCAAACCAATCATCATCAATGATCCGAAGCCCTCGGCCGGGATCGAAATCTTCCAGAAGATTTCAGCAAAGGGATTTGAAGAGCTTGGATCAAAGCTGCTGTCACTAACTTCCATGGATGAGCTCATAGGTAAAACTGCAGAACAGATTGCATTTGAAGGAATTGCATCAGCTATTGTAACTGGAAGAAAGAAAGAAAGGGCCAACTCTACTGCAGCTAAGTCTGTAGCTGGTCTGAAATCAATGGCCAAAGCAATGAATGAGGGGAGAAAAGAGAGAATTTTAACTGGGATTTGGAATGTGAGAGAGGAACCATTGGTGTCCATGGAGGAAATTCTCTCATTCTCACTGCAGAAGATGGAGACAATGGCGGTCGAAGGGCTTAAGGTAGAAGCTGGAGTGGCAGAAGAGGAACCCCCTTTCGACATTTCGCCAGCTATCGAAAGCAATGGAAGCTCCATTCTCGACTCCGCTGTCACACTCGAGGATTGGTTAAAGAAAGATAATGGTGAAGCTAAAGGAGTTATTTTGATGGTTTTGGTTCAGTTGAGGGATCCGGTGAGGCGGTACGAGGCGGTTGGAGCTCCAATGATCATGATGGTTCAGGCGACTAGAGGTGGTGGCGGTCCGAGAGGCGGGGAGGAGGGGTTCAAAGTGGGAAGCTTACATGTTGGAGGAATGAAGCTGAAGTTAGGGAGGAAGAGGAGTGTCTGGGATGGGGAGAGACAGAGACTAACGGCTATGCAGTGGCTGGTGGCTTATGGAGTGGTGAAGGGTGTGAAGAAGGGTAGAGAGGGGGAAGATAAAGGAGGAAAGAACTTAATCTGGAGCTTTTCTGCAAGATTAATGGCAGATATGTGGCTGAAGGCAACTCGCAATCCTGATGTTAGGCTTCATTTGGAGTGATTTATGCTTTGATAGAATCTATTTTCGCAATTACAGTTTCTATTAGGATAACTTACATGTATATCATTGGACTTTTATGCTTTGAGCAGGCTCTTGAGTTGGCTTGAATATTGTTATGAATTGATTTAGTTTTAAGTTATTTTGTTCCTGTATGTTATCACATCAAATGTAAATATTTATAAATAGATGTCATATGTGATGTATTAATTGGGGAAAATTTTGAATAAAGCTTTAGATTAAATTTTTCTCCTCCAAAATTAGTCTTCGCTCTCTCTCTCTCTCCCTCTCTCTTGCATGAAGCTCAAGAACAGCTCAAGAAGCTCTCAAGACCTCACAATTTCCTAACAATTGATATCAGAGCCTCGTTGAGACGATCTCGAGGTGGAGGAATGTTCTTGTCTAGGAAAGAAGAGGTGTTCAAGCCGCCGGTGACGCACAGGTTGGAAGGCGTAGAAGGCACAGATTGGGTGGTGTTGGGTCGCACTAGTGTTGCATGCTGGACAACCAAAGAATCGCGCTAGGCAAGGGCGCGTTAACAAATCTAAAGCGCAGACCTGGGCCGGCATGGGATCTAGGTCAGGTCATTGGTTGATCGAGTGGGCCGGAGCAGGCAAGGTTGCAAGGCACGGGGCGCTAGGTTTGGATTCAGATGGAGGCAAACACCGGCCCAGGTCTCAAAAACTTGAATAAAACTTTAGGTTAAATTTTCCTCCTCCAAAATATGTCTTCCCTCTCTTTTGCAATAAGCTCTAAAAAGCTCAAATCACCTCTAATTTAAGCTTAAGCTTAATTTTATGAGTCCAAATCAGCTCACGAGCAAATTCATTTATAACAAAAGTGTGAAAATAATTATGATTCAAATAATAACTATAATAAAATTATAAACAACAACAACAACAACATCAAGCCTTTATCCCACTACGTGGGGTCGGCTACATGAATCCTTTTTCTCACTTGAAATAAAAAATTGAGATAAAATTTTTAAATATTTATAATAGCTTTATATTTCTACTCTTGAATTCTAATGTATTTAATAATAATATTTTTTTTAAAACAAGCCAATTTGCAGGCTAATGAATTATTTGAAGTTAAGCTCAAGCCGGCTCGTGAGTCAGCAAAATAATTTGTTTTTTTTTATTATGTATTCAAAATCCCAGAAATTCTGTTACTGAAATTCTGCTTGAAATAAGATACCAAACAGCCCATTAATATGAACAGGAAACTATTCAAACACAGCTTAGCTTTGAATATTTAAGAAGATGCAGCTTCAGCCTTCACTGCAACATCCTGAAGCCCACACGCCATATTTGCTGGTACTGCCACATCAATCATCTTTGGATATGCCAATTTTAGATCTACAAATTAAAGAACAGAAATTTATAGAAAGAAACAGTTTGCAGCAACAAATATTATAAGTCTGAAACCGTAATTGGCACTGTACTTACTTTCCATGATGCTCTTGAAAGTTTCCTGTGATAATGAGAATACAAACAATAAATTATTAGGAATTTTTAAGTTTTCTATGCAGTTCAACAGAATTTGATAATTTAGGCTTTCAGTTCAGGCATCTTTTTTATTGTTTTCGAAAGCGATTTTTTAGTACAAAAATTTATAGAAAAAGTTTTGTAATAAAAAACTGCTTTAGAAAACAGTAAAAAAATTATTCCAAACTTTTTTTTTTTTTGAACGGGAGTATCTACCCGCTGCCATCCCTTTAGGCGGCACTGGGTGGCGTAACTAATTCCTCGGCAAGCCTACCAGCAACCAGCCACACAGGCGCAGGACCCACAGTTATTTTCTCCCCACTTAAGGGGTCGCGCTGCATAGAGTGGAATCGAATTGGGTTGGAGAGTTCCCAACCATGCTCGTCCACCAACCCAGCTAAGCCCGATGGGGTTCCAAATGAAACTTTAATAGCTGGATTGATAAAAGCACCTTTTGGTGGACAAATAGGATAAACTTAATTGAGAGGAGATTTGGAAAATGGTCAAGGAAAGGAGGATGTTAACAAAGGGGTGAAACTTGTTTCAAACACTGAGAGAGAAAAATAAAAGAAAATATCAATGCACAAAAAATCCATAAAAGAATATTATTGTTGAATATTTCACTATGATTTGTTTATGGAAAAAAATATTAACCTAATTCCTATGATAAAAACATAAGAATTGTCCCCTTTTTCATGAAGAAAATTAAGGCATCTAAAATATAATTAAATTCTTAAAAGCATTTTTAATTAAATAACTTAGGATCTGCAAATAAGTATGTATAACCATCAACTGTAGATTTTATATAAGTTCACCAAATTGATGATTATGTCATAATATCATCATACCCCAATTTATAAAATAACTTAAAATTCATGATTAAGGCTTCGTTTGAGACGACTTTCTTGCTGCTTCTTAAAGCAACTTTCTAGTATAAAAATTTTAATTTTTATACTAGAAAGCAATTTTATGAAGTAGGAAGAAAGTCGTCCCAAACGAAGCCTAAGGCTTAGGCTTCGTTTGGGACGACTTTCTTGCTGCTTCTTAAAACAACTTTTTAGTACAAAATTTTTTATTTTTACACTAAAAAGCTTCTTTAAGACGCAGTGAGAAAGCCGCCCAAACGAAGCCTAAATCTGTGTAGCGTGGAATTGCATCAATACTTGCAGAGGCATCACACAAAAGTATGTTATACAATAACACAAAAAAAAGGGGAGCAAGCATTTACCTCATCCTTTGTCAAGCGAGGATTGTACAGCATCTCCTCCCCAACAGTAGAAACCTAAATTTAAAATCGGGTCATAAATATCAAAGCAAAAAGTCAATTTCGTTTGCAGTGAAATTGAATGAAGAGAATGTTTCATACGGTGAAGCCTTTGTAGTCATGAGCAGGATAAATAAGTGTCTCCTTAGGCAATGTGAATATCTGTTTATTAAGGAGGTTAACTGAAAGATGCTAACTAGAAAGAAAACTATGGTTTATTTGATCATCTTGCCTGTGAGTGGACTGACTGGTAGAGCTGACGTGAACTTCCTCCCTGTAAAATTAATAACATAAATCATTCAACACACCACAAAAATAAGATTATGGAAGCTAGAAGAAAATCAGGACCATTCTGTGGAAGCCTTTTCTTTTCATCCATGGGAGAGAACTTATGTGAAGGGCTGACAAGCTTACAAAGTTTGTTTTTTTTTTTTCCCTCTCCCTTCTCTGATGATCTCATTAATAATATGCCGACAATCCTTACAGCCAGGAGGAAACTTCCGGTTCTATTATGATATCAAGGTTTTATTTGGGATGTCTTTCTTCCTGCTTCTTAACGCGGCTTTTTAGTACAAAAATTAAAAAATTTTAACTGGAAAACTACTTTAAGAAGTAGTAAGAAAGTCATCCCAAATGAAGCCCAAGTTAACAGTTTCAAACAAATCAAACAATTGAACACTATACTCAACCAAATCCAATCATGATCTCAATCCTTCAATGGAGATCATTCCCACGCCAATGCCAATAGCTCTTTGAACTGACATACAAGTTACCATCTCATTTCTCAATCTCTCCAATCTCCTATGCATCATTTAACTTACTTTGGTTTTCACAGGTTGTCCATGGCACAGTAGAACAAAAATTCCAAAAAACAAGATTAAAATAGAGCACAAAAAAAAAATCAAACGACTAAACAACCAGCATGAATGATTTCTAAACGGCAATATGCCATAAAAATCCTCAAGCTTTTAATGATTTCAAAGTGCTATTAGTCCATTGATAATATGAAACAAATAGTTGACATATTTTTCTAATATTCAAGTGTAAACGCCCAATAGAATTATTATTTCAAATTGACAAACACGGCCAATTAGTTTAGGTTAAATTTTAAATGCAGAGCATAGCATGTTATTGACCTAACAAACCACATATGAGATGGAGAGTTCATGAATATTGATTTAGCATATATACTACACAAACTGTTCGTATAATTACTCTTAAGTTTCATTTGGGGCGACTTTTTTACTGCTTTTTAAAGCAGTTTTTTAGTGCAAAACTTAAAAAATTTTCTACTAGAAAGCTACTTTAAGAAGCAGTAAAAAAGCCTTCCCAAACGAAGCCTTAGTGTGGATAGCCATTTGCAATATAAATGACTGATTCAAAAAACACATTTGATGAAAATGATATTCTGACATATATAAACCGGCATTCATAATTTCTAACATAAAACTTTGTAAAACTCTTTGTATAAAAATATATTTATAAACTCCAGTACATATATAGACATAAAATGACCATAAACCAACATTGATATTTGTCTAAAAATCTATTCAAATATTTTGATGTAGGAGCAAAAATTATAATTATCAACTTTATAGTTTCAAGTCACCAACCTGATTCTAATTAACTGAGCATAGTAATATTTTTGTCACAAAAATTTGAAGTAAAAGAATCACCAGAACTATAATATATGTGATTATATGGAAGAAATCAATAAGTAACTGAAGTTTCTCTGAAAAGGCTTAAGAATATAACATTCTATGTGATGGCATAGAATCCTAAAGTTTTTATCTAACATATTTTGACCAACATCCATAAAATAATACCACAAAAACTTAGCGCAGTGCATACGTTATGCCACACGGATGGTTAGATTACCATACCTGAAAATCTGTCCTACCACAACCACGTATCAACACAGCATCTCCAGTGAAAGCTAGCCTAGGATTTGGCTGATTGAGTCCATCGCCGGTTACATACGTAACACAGCCTAATGTATGCCCTGGAGTAGCGCGGACCTGGAAAAATAGCTTTTCTTCATATTTTTCATGAAAAATTCAATTATTTTGGGAACAACGTGCAACAATAACTATATTTTTAAAATTTTTGTAGGGGCTAACTTGATTGCTTGTAAATAGAGAACATGTATTAAAAGATTTGATTTTGTTTTCACTATATTGTGTGATACGAAATTATTACATTTTAGAAGTTCTTAAGGTATTTGAAGAGTTTACAATAATATTAATTTCAAAAACATGTTTTCTAATCTTAAAAAGATCAAATATTCCCAAGTAAAATTAAGAAAGTGCTACTTGCTTAAAGGAGAAACTATCGAGTAAATGACCTTCCTGATTCACTAACGGTTAGCTTTGAATCACTCAAACTCCAAATATTGAAAAGTAAAACATTATCGAGACTTTTATATTATCACATTATTTGAGGAAACAAAACAGCATAACCAAAATAAAAAGGTAATTTGACCCTCCATCAGAACTTGGATCCTTTCCCTGTTCTTCAACATAAACTTAATGGTTAAGCAGCCGAACATTTGATCAAGCCCATCAAGCAACATAGTAAATGTAGCAAACCGCATCAGTCCAAAACCTTTCAACTTAAGAGTCTGGTTGGTGCAGCTTTTTGGTTGCTTTATTTTTTAGACTCCTATCACACTGTATTTGATTACAATTGTCTTACATCTTTTTGAAATATCCCATAGTAATGAGAATCAATTTTTTACAAACAAATCTGTTGGAGTGGTATTGTAAAAAATTCAGCCGACTTTTTTAAAAAGAAAAAAAATATATAATAACTACAATAGCTTTCAAAAAATTTAATCTTACTACAATTGTCTTATAGCAACTTTTACAGATAACTGCAGAAGCTCCAAACAGATCGTAAGTAGTTGGATTGTGCAAAAATCCCCATTCAAAACTGCCGCAAATCACGTTCTTCATCACCTCTAACATATTTTTTAAGGGGAAATCGATTATGGTTACTCACAAGCCTCCTCTTCTCCCATAGATAGCCATAATAAAGACCTTGATTTCCTCTTCTCATTTTATCTTTCAATGGCAATCCTTGAGCAGTAGATCAATCCTTTACATTGAGGTTTTCCTACCACGAGCCTTATTCCTCCCTTCTCTGTGACTGTAATGAGTTTCCCCTCTCAAAAAACAGTTATCATAAAACCTCAAGCTTTCATTGATAACATTTCCATTAATTGTTAGGTAGCTTAGCTTTTGGTTACTCATCATCATCCTTCAGTCTTATTCTAACTTGAGTATAAGAATTTAAGATAACTCATACAACCTCATCATTTCCTTTGAGCTCATCGAACAGATTAATGTTTCTAATAATCTAATTTATCCCTTGTAAATGTTTCATTGTCCTCAACTTTTGTCATATTATTGTTGCTTGAACCATTGTCCCTTTTTCGACATTATGATTTATCAGGTTAATTCTTTGTAAATGTTCATCTAAGTTTTAATTAACTAGATTTTTTATGATTAGATTATATACTTAAGATTATCATTATGGATTTATGGTTTGACTTTAAATAATAATAATAGACAATAAATCTTAATTATGATTTTCTTATATTTGACTATGATACAACGTAGCTAGTTAAGTATTGTAGTTTCATATATGTTTGGGTGCATATGCATTGATTGAGATCTTTTACTACTTTGGGAAATTCGAAATGGTCCACATCTGTTGTTGCCCATTTGGATTTCAACTGAACTTTAGATTTCCACTTTGCACGTTAAGGTAGGTAGCTTTTATTTGTTAGAGGATAAATGTACCTTCTTTATTATAGGTTTTATCTTTAATGCTAGGTGTAAGTTTGCTTGTATATATAATAGATTTTCAACATATTCAACCATGCGTTTTATATTCAGTTTTGCCATTCACATTTGTAGAAGCTTTAAGATCATGTCGTAATACCATATGATGTGTAGATAGCTTTGGCATAGTAATTGATGGCAATTTTTTAATGCTAAAATGATTTATATGATAGCAAAATGTGTTTATCATGTAAATTGTCTTAGTTGATGTGTAAAAAATCTTGTTCATCCAAAACATATTTGATTAATATGAATCAGGCATTGATCATATTGCTCATAAAACATCTAATATATGATTGTTGATGACATATATCTAAAATGTGTATGTTTTTATGTTGGATATCAATGATTGGTAACACCCTTCTGTCGATATAATTGGCTAGTTGGGCTGACATGCCCATATAGCTATGATTCAATAAGGATTTCATTGGTTAAAAGCGCCTTCCTCATGTTCAAGGCATCTTGATCAAACGATTGTGCATAAAAGTTACTATGATAAATGGCCAATGAGTTATTATGGATATGGATGAAAATGATTGATGTGATTGCATATAGATATATTAGCATTGTCAATGCATTAATTATTCAGTTTAATATGAATAATTATGAACATCATATATTGTAAATCATCATAGAATAAATGACATTTGTTATCATTGTGTCATGTAATTTATTATAATTTGATACTGTGATAACATTTATTATGTGTATATTACATTGTAAACAATACCTCTTTTATGATCATATTACATATTTGGTGTCTTGTAGTGTATGTTTTAATAAATAGAAATTATCTATTGAATTTACATGAAAAAACTTATTTGTGGTTAATTATTCTATTGGCATGTAAACCAAGTGCCACCACTATATGTAAAGAAATGAAATTAGACATAAGATCAGCCTTTTCCTATCAACATCATCAAAATTGAATAAAATCTACCAATCCATACCTCCAAATAGAGATTACCAAAATTTATTTTGTCACCTTGCTCAATTAGATGGTCAGCTTTTGCATTGCTAGCTTTGGAGATGACTGATTGTACACCTGGAACTTTAACCTGCAAGTTCATGGCTATTGAGGAAGATACAAAAATCAAATGAAATGTATTTATTACATCAGAAATACGAACAAAATAAAAAAAATAAAAAAGGCTTGAACATGATAATAATATACATTTAGTAGTGTCTTGCTATTATCGATTTAACTGACTAGCTTAGCCATTGAACAAACTGAAAAAATAGAAGCCTTCACAGACCTTTATGATGCCAGTTCCAGTCACGTGATCGGCATGTACATGAGTATTCATAGCATAGATGAGCTTCACTCCCAAGTCCCTGATCAGCGATAAATCTCTATCTACCGTTTTATCTACAGGGTCAATCAACTAATCCAAGGAGAAAGTTAAACTATTTAGCATAACTTACATAACATAAAAAAAATTAACTCAATTTCTAATAAAATAAACATTATTTTCCCAATATTCTCTTAACTTATGCATTTAAAAAAAAAAACATAGATTGAACTATTTAGTGGCTACACGCAAAGGAAAGTGGCTAAAAAAATTATTATTAGATATAGAATTGTGAAAAAAACAGATACATGCTATTTCTTTGCTTGTCATAGATAGGCTATATTGCTTAAAGCTTGTAGTACCATTTATAATGGCAAATCCAGACATATTAGTCTGAGACATGACTATATTCTAAATTTGATCTCAAATGAAGTGATCATTATTAAATTATATGAGATCAGGAAATAATTTAGTTGATCTTCTCAATAAAAATATTTTGAGAGATTTAGTAATAAGTCCAATAGGTGTAATGAAAATTTAATATTCAACAATAAGCATCAATAACCAAAATCCAACTTTTAATTAGTAAAAGCTAATTTTAAAGCTCAATGAATAAAAATAAGTTATTGGGATATGCTTGAAAGTGCCGTCTCATCCTAACATTTTTAGTAAATAGCATAATTATATTGGATGCTATTTTACTGAACTAAAGTTCTTAATATAATTATGTTAAGAAAATGCTCTTAGCAATTGGAGCATCAAGGAACTCTACCTATGTAAACATAGAAGTGGTGCCTCTTCAATAGGAGGATTGAGGACAAAGATGAAAATGCTTACGAATTCTGGAATTGGCACATGGCCCTCACAATGTTTAAGCTATTAAAACTTCTTGGGAAGCAAATATTCATAATACCATGAATTTTAATTCTAGGAGTTATGGTTCAATCCAAATTGGAGACCATCAACTTTGCATAAACATCAAAGTGCTTCTATATGGTTCAATTTGAGAAATACCTTTAGATTCATAATACTTATTCCATGTAAACAAAATTATTACAAACTTGGGGGGAGTTGCTGAAAATTATATAAGAGACTTTTGAAAAGTTTGTAATATGGTGTGGTTTAGACTTCGTTTGGGGCAGCTTTCTTGTTTCTTCTTTAAACAGGTTTTTTAGTTCAAAATTTTTAATTTTTATACTAAAAAGTCATTTTGAGAAGTAGTAAGAAAACCGTCCCAAACGAAACCTTAGTCTCGCTTCTCTTGGGAGAAACCCGTGGAAGTGGTCCTTTTAATGGAAAGCATGTGAGCCTTGTAAGTTATATTGAGCATTTATAAGTCATACATTGGGAACTTGGGACATCTTGGAAATTGATTACCACATTAATTAATTTAGGAAATTAAATTTTCTTAATTTTAAAAATATTTATAAATGCAAATTGTCAACAATTGTGGCTTCCTAAATAGGTTCAAGAGATGGATGCACCTACCATGTGAAGCTCTTGATAAAATATTTGAATAGGGTTGCATCTTCTCACAAGTGATCCCATGAAAAAGGCATTAATAAATTGTTGCATCTACTAATCCATAACTCCTTATAGGCTATAACTAAACCATCCATGAAAGTTTTATAAATAGCTTTTCAATGGGCTTCTTGAAAAAGTTTAAGTGCTTTGCTGTATCCAGAAGGTCAATTGCCTGGTACTATGTCCTAGTGAGGAGAATATCTCCTTCAGCAAAGTGATCCAACATCCCTCATAGCAGCCACTAAAACTAAGCATTCCTCAACAATTAATGCACACGATCATTACTTCCCTCTAATTAGTGCTTAAATGCCATTTTAGATTAATTAATCTTACAATTTTCCCTAATTAATCTATAAGTTAATAATAATCCTATTGGATTAACTAATCATTTTATTAGTGTTTAATTAATAGATGCAATCAATGATTCTAATTAATACTGGCTTACATCCCTTGGTTGGTGCTTAACAACCACCTTAGATTTTATAAACTTTTAATTTTTAATTAACAAATAGTTGCATTATATAATGATCACATCCAATAACTAATTAATTACTTCTTACTAAATCATAAAAAGTAATCTTCTGAGCTACTTGTAGTAATTAAGTAATTACTCTCTTAATACTGCAACAACAATAACAACATAAAGCCTTTATCCCACTACGTGGGATCAGCTAAATGAATCTTTTTTCTCTGTTGTGTCCTATTAAGAATCAAATTCTCATTTAAATTTAATAGAGAAAAGGTCAATTCTAATATTTTCTAACCAAATCTTTTTAGGTCTATCTCTACCCTTCTTAACATAAGCCAAATCTAATTACTCTCTTAATATAGAGCTTAAATAATTAATGTTTAAAGAGATCCTTAGATTAATAAATAACTAATTAGTACCTAATTTATCCTTGGCTGAATAATGATAGCCTTACATTAACTAATCTCCACTTAATAAAACACAAAATTGATTACTATCTACATAGCTATTTACAAGATAAACAATTCATTTAATAATTTAGAGCCTAAAGAGGATCTAAACTTATTTCCAACCCTGTAATCTTCAGTTAAACAATTTTTTCAAGATTAACAAGCATCTATTTTCATGATTAGAAAACAGATTGATTTATGGATTATAATTTCATCAGCACCACAAAAATCTAGATTTTTAGCTATCTAACTTAACATCAAACAGCAAAGTGATGAAGAAAGTAAAGCAAATAAATACTAAATGCAAACCAGGATCAATTAAAAGAAAGCAAAGAAAGAGACAGGCATCCAAAGTTCGTTCTCATCCACAGAACCAACAAGAATCTCCACTCCACATGATTTCACAATAAATACAACAAATCCATCCAACGCCAACAAGATCAATGCAGAGGATGAGAAATCAATAAATCATACTCACCACGGCGGGCTTCTCTGGATGCCCCATGTCGGCAAGAAGATAGGTGTAGGTGGATGATTCCTTCTCAAAGAGCTGCCTGAAGAGAAGCCTCCTCGATGCGTCTGCAGCTGCAGTGCTATACGACGCCATGGCCACCGATCTCACTTTCGATTCGACTGAGAAGGCTACGGTTTGCCTAGAACCAAAGCGAGTGAAAAGGGAGAGAAGGCGCAGACCCCGATGGGCGGGCAGGTGGAGACGAAGCGGGAGCATTGTTTCTATATCTGTCGCTATATCTGTCGCGCGTTATTCATTCTTCTGATTTTATAGGGAGAAAGAGAGAGAGAGAGAGAGAGAGAGAGAGAGAGAGAGAGAGAGAGAGAGAGAGAGAGAGAGATAAGGTTGACAGAGTCTTTCTCTTTGGGGGAAAACATGTAAAAAAGAAAGTTTGGAGGAACGCCGCCGGAGTTTGATCGGGATTCTGAAAATTTTTCGCACGGCCGAGAAACGCCGCCGGAGTTTCACATGTACTAGAGAAGGACTTGGCGTTACTAATAGTTTTGGGTATATATGTTAAAATAAATAAAAAGAAAAAATTTCCATATTAAAAGAGGATTTACATACATACCACTTTATTTCATTTAATTTATACTTCTAACATTAAAATTTTAATATTTCATATATGTTATCATAGATCAAATATGGGTGCAAGTAATTAAATATTAATTTCAAGTTTAGGGGATTTTCATATATACCACTTTATATCATACTATTTATATATCTAACATCTAAAACTTTAATATTTCATGTCTATTATCTATAGAATAAATATGAGTATAAAAATGAAATATTAAAATTTATAGGGTGATATTAGTGGTAGGAATAAAATATATGATTGACATTATTTTATATTAAAATTGTTTATGGATGGTAATATGAAATATTAATTTTTTAGTGTTAAATATGTAAATATTATGAAATAAATTGGTATGCTTGTAAATCATCCTAAAATTTATTAAATAGTATAAGTGATAAGAATAAAATATAGGAGTATCATATTTGATATTAAAATTATATATATGTAA